GTTAAAAAGAATTGTTTTCCCAGTTCAATACTGAGAATAGATTGGAAAGATTAAGGGGATGCTTTTTTTAAAAACAGTTGTTTAAAGTCAGAGCTTAAATATATTTAAAAACAAAACTACATGTTCTGGCACTCTTTAAACCTACTTTTATGGTTATTTTACCAATCAATTTAACACCTGTGAAATATATAGAAGTATATTCCCTAAGAAATTACTTATTTGTCATAAATGCTTCTACCTCCTTGGTAGAATTTGCCTTCAATAACTAAGCATCCCATTATGAGATAGCACAGGAGTGGTCAGAGTTACTTTTAATAATACAGTGGAAGACACTGTGTTGTGCTTCATTTAGGGAAGGAATAACTAAATATAACTGCACACTAAATACTAGTATTTGCACCAAGGATTACCTTCTAATTAATCTAGAAAAAAAGAAATAAGTGTCAGAAGGAAAATGTACTGATCAACTGTACCAGTTGATCGAGCTAAACTTCAGAATGAAGGTACCCAGAGATATTCCAGAGCACAAAACTCTTCAAGAACGTGACAAACTTCAGCTGGCTGATTATATTCCTTTCTGCCAAAGCACCCATCATTCCACAGCATCCTCCCAGCAGTCCTTCAGAGACTGACTGCAAATACTGTCCTGGATTTGGTGAAACATGGCCACATGGCCTTGCTAGATCACAGAGAAGGAAAAGTATTCCTGTATCCTAGAGATATTCTGACCTCCTAGATGAAGGTAAGCAATGACCACTTCCTAAAGCGATGACATACTACATCACAGCATTAAAGAAAATGACAGTAGCACACAAGAGAACAATCTGAACTGCAGAAGCAATAGCTCATTCATCAGAGATTGGAAAAACTGATGTCACTGCACAAGGCTGAAACACTGCACAGAAATGTGACTAACCATATTCAAGAAATATTGGAACAATTCTTGAGAGTAGGGACCATGGCAACAGAGAGCTTTGTGACAGGAGACTAGAGAAGGCAGGTTTGTTTAGCCTGGGAAACAAAGGTGAAGAAGGACCTGCTGCCTATAAATAGGTCGGGCAGAAAACGTCAGCCGAGAGCTATTTCAGACAGAAGGCTGTTTTGGAACAGAAACAAATGGATGAAGGCTGACTGAATGAATTTAGATCAGAAATCAGGAGAAGCTATCCAACCATTTAGGCCAGTGAAGTGGAGAGCCAAGAGGGAAAGGTACCTACTTAAGATGAAGCTGAGTCAGCTGATTACATTAAGTGGGCTTGTGATGCAGAAGATTGGACTCTGATCCAGGAAGGTTTTAAAGAAAAAAAAAGCTCATGCTCCTAGTAGCAGACTACTTGTACACTTCCTTCCAGATCAAGAAGTAATCCTCTCCACAGGCCTACCAGACTGCTGCAGCAATGACGACCTCCCATTTCCCCCACAGGGGACAAGTAAGGACTTTTAGCAAGTGGAACTTATTCACAGCATGAAGATTTTCACATCCCTCTACTTCTACTGCAGGGCTGTAGAGAGACCAACTGGATCACTGCATGCTGCAATGTGGCTTCATGTCATTGTACAGTATGAAACAGCAGAGAAGGGTCACTGATGGATGACAAATGCTAGCATGTTCCATCCACTGCAGTACTAGAGCTGTAGGGCAACTAAATGCATTAGATAGCAAATTCTAACTGCAAATTACATCAACTTAGAGTTTTGAGGAAAGGAGAAAGGAAAAAGCTAACACCAGATTACTTTCATGCAGTAGCAAGAAGATTCCCAGGGACTGAATCTGCAGTATAAGCTGATGGGAATGCTGTGTCCCTGCCTTTGGGCAGATCTCAGATCAGTGAGAGCAGACAACAGCAAGCCCTACTAAGCAGCTGGGCAGAGTCACCACTGTTAGCTTAGTGCTGGGCTGATGTGGTCCCTCAAGCCTCAGACACTGGTAAAATTAACAAGCCTTCGGTTTCTCTGCTTCATCTTAGTGTGGGCCTACAGCTCAAACTTCTGCAAGGCAACTTAAGAGATCACATTCCCTCCTTCTTGGCCTTCATTTCACATAGCTTGGCTCACACCTTGTGTGAAAGACTAATAGCAAGTGTTCACAAGAGCCTTGCCTGTGACAGCCACATCCTCTGACAGAAAGCAATACAACCCCCCTGACACTTCAATAGCGATGCTTTGCCTGTGACTGCACTTTCCAGAAGTCATTGACAACACTACTGCAGTAGTAGCATTTAAGGAACAAAACCAGTAGTAATTATTAGTCTTGCCTTTATTAAACTAGCCATTGCTACACCATGCAATGCACCCATCTGCTACAGCAATAGAAGCAGGGGCAGTGGTTTTTCCTTCTATAGTCTGAGAAAATTTTTCCATGGAGAAAATTGTGCTCAATTTCTTACCCTAATGTACTATGCCATAAACCAAATGTCAGCCAAGAAGGGAGTACATAAACTGTTAGTTTCAAAGGGGCAAACACTAAACTACCATGGACGATCTCATACCAGACTATTAAATGGAAGGAGCATGTAAACTGAGCCATGAAGGGTTCCTAACAGATGGTTCAGAGATACTTTGCTGAACCAATGTAGCTTTTGAAAAAGATGGAGAGTAATATACACTGCTTCTAACCATATGGCCTTAAATAGGAATTTAAAGCTAAACCATTGTGTCACTCAGACAGATGGCAAGGGGAAATAAGGCTTGTTTCAAGAGGGACATTATAGCAATTAGTACTAGCATTCTAATAGCTAAGTTTCAGCTTTTTATTTCACATGCTTAGATTTCAAGCCATTTATTCTCTCAGGAACTCACTGAAGCTGCATGTCTATTAAGTACCAAAAACACTTGCACAAATATTAAGATGTTCCACAAGTCTTGCAAGAAGCATATTTCAGATCTACTATTTTCTATGGGAGTTGCAAAATTACTTTCTCAAGATCTCAAACAATAAGCTTACTAAAGAGACACCTTGTAGGTAACATACTCCAAACCAGAAGCACTGGAATCACCATTTAGCTTTGCCAGATTAAGTATGCATGTTCTTTTTCATCTGCTTCCTTTCACAGCCACCTAAGAACACACCAAGCCATTTTCTCAGAACTGCGTATCTACTCACCTCTGGTTTTGATACAAGAAAAAACTTGTTTAGTCATAACTGTTCAGCAACAATACAGAACTTCAACCTTGTAGCATACCCACTTCAAGGTCTCCTAAACACCAAGAGCTTCTCTAAGCTTAAACATGCTTAATGAATGTCTTTCAAAGTACCTGAACAACAAATTATTTCTTTAATTGAGGTGAATTCCACATGGTCAAGAGGCCAGAAAGCTCAGGAAGCACGGCAGTGCCCTGCACCCAGGAGGACCTCTACTGGTGGCCTTGGTTGGCCAGAGCTACTCTCAGGTAGACCCAGCATATTGTGTGCTCTGTGCATAAGAACTACCACCACAGCAGGAACCTACACCACCAAGATGACTCCCAGAACAAGAGCTTGGCACAGAGCTGAAATTGAGATCTGAGCTCTGCTGATTAAGAAACCTTTGTAAAGTTGACAGCAAGGCTTTGTTCAGCTTTATGTCAAGATCTAATTCCTCAGATAACCGAGGATAACAACCAGCAGCTGCAACCCCACCTCTGCCTAAACATTCACTGTTACATCAACTATCCCCAAGTAAGAGAATACCTGCCAACACTGGCTTTCACCTGCATCCTTAAGATTGTTTAAGGGTCTCAGACTACAAGAAGTACTCTGAATTCATCTGGCGCACCTGCTGAGGTCCAACATAGCTCTGCAATACAGTTCTTTGGTCTTGCAAGGAATTCAGCAAATACACTACAGACAAGGAGCCCCAGAAGTGTGAAAATTCCAGAGCAACAGGTAATTCCACAGAAAAATAACCACCCATTCTTTATTCAGACAGCTTTCATGTCTAAGACCATGGGACTGCATTCACACCTATTTGATCCCAGTGAATTTCAGATTGCCAAAAAAAGCAAGTGTTCACACATACAGTTGTATGGCAATTCAAGTGTGGGAAAAACTTCTTCCACAGCCAACAGCACAGTAGAAATCTTCATTTGCTACCGAACCACTAAGGAGAGCAAAATTTGTGCTCTCCTCACTCCCTGTAGAAGGAAAGCTGCTTCAGGGCAATGGGTGTTCCAACAGAATTGCATATCATCCCCATTACACACATGGTGGTACTATAACCTGATATCCCACAACCCACAGGTTGCTCTCACTCTTCAGCCACATCTCTTTTTGCTTTCAAAATAAGGCAAAAAAGACAAGTCCCCCTATGTCCTCCTCTCTGCTAGTCATAGCCCAGTGGCAAGCTGCAGAAGATAACTAGAATAAATAGAAAATACGCAAGTCTTCACATATGCCAGGCATCATCAATACAGCTTTGCAATGAGGTGGGAGTTCTAAAAACAACGCCCCCAAAAGCTTCTTAACTGCCAATTTAGGCTGTAATCATATGCACTGAGAAAACCGCAGCAGCAAATGCTTATTTACCTACAAGCATATTGACTGCTGACCAGGCTTGAGCACCTCACAGTGGATGTGCTCTGAAGACCAGAAAATATAGTGTCTCAACTGGTTAAAATCACAGCTGGCATTGAGCTAGTTTTCATTATGCAGCAGAGTAAGAAATAACAGCTCAGTAAACATCTTTCTTACAGAGAAATAACCTACAACCCACAATGCCTGCCATACACTCCACAAGCATCAGTAACATAACCCACATATACACTTGTTTTAGTGAAAGTCGCTGAAGAAAATGCTGTTTTATAGACTGAGATAAAAGCAATGCTACCGAGCAACAGCTCCCTAAGGCATATGAAGGCAACACTCAACAGGAAGGCCTGGGGTTGCACTGCGGTGTGACTGAGCATGTGGAACCGGTTACAAGCTTACCACAGAGGCACAGCACAACCATCCCAAGGAAGGGCAACACTGAGTACCCATCATGCCCCTCCTGCACAGAACACCAGAGGAGCCCTCCTCATACCTGAATTCAGGGACGAGATTTGGTTGCAGTCCATAGAAAGCCGCTGAGAGAGTCACCAGCCAACCGGGTTTGTAATTCCCGTTCTCACACTCCAGGTAAGGAGAGGACCATCTGATGTGGTTCTTATCAGCCGTGAAGCCCTCTCGCCTCTTCCAGCTGTTCTCCAAAGTTTTGGAGCCCGTGTTCAAGACCTTCCTGTGCTGATGCGGCCTCCACTTGCGCTTCAGGCCCTGGAACCACTCCGTTTCCAGGGATCCGTTAGCCAGGCGGTGAGCGGAGGAGGACAGGTCCTGAAGGTGGATCTGGCTCTCGTGCCTGCTGGCCTGGAGGAACACCTGGGGGGCAGAGAAGGGCTCCGTGCTGAAGGTGATGGCTGCCCTGGAGATGTTGGGATCCCCTTCCAGGAGGCTCCTGATCAGCGCCCGGTACCACTCCAGGTCCTCCTGCAAGTTCTGCTCCCGCGACTTATTGCTCTGCAGGATCATGTTGAGGAAGTTGGTGGCGTGCGTGAGGGTGTCCAGGGCGCCGTGCAGGGACGGGTGCGAGACGAAGCGCGACTTGCCGGCCAGGCTGGCCAGCTCGTAGCGCCCGGAGCAGTTGGCCCTCCGCAGCTCCCGGGAATCGCCGGTGTAGAGGAACGAGGCCACGTCCTGGGGCACCTCCTCGGCGAGCCGCTGCGCCAAGATGGTGCTCTCCGGAGAGCGGCTCCGCGGGGCCGGGGGCGGATCGCGGCTCTTGATGTGGTTGTAGACGGGCTGCCTGCCTCCCGGCGCCCGCCCTCGGCCGGCCGCGGCTCCGAGCCCGCGCTGGGCCAGGAGCAGGAGGAGAAGGAGCCGGAGCGATGCCATGTCCCCGGCGTCCCCGGTCGCGCAGGCACGGCGGAATCAGCCAAGCCGGGCTTCGCGCAGGCAGCCGCGGCGCGGCGGCGACCGAGCGGCCCCCGGCCCCGAGTCACCTGTGGCGGTACCGGGAGCGGCGGCAGCAACCCCGCCCGCTCCCGCCGCGGCCCCGCGCTCACTGAGGTGCTGCCCAGCGGAGCGCGCAGGGGCGGCGGCGCCCGCGCCCGGCGCAGCGGCGGGTCCCCCCGCGCCGCCCCGCCGCCGCCCGAGCCCCGCCGCTCCGCATCCTTCGGGCGCCGCTGCCGGAGACGGACTGCCCCCTTGCCGCAAGCAGCGCACGGCTCCCTCCGCCGCCGGCTACGGAAAGCCGCTCACCGCCACAGCCGGCGCCTCACCGCCGACCCTTATAGGTGTACGGCGAGCAGTTGCCGCCCTGTGTGGCCGCCTGGGCTGTCAGTCAGCCGGCAGCCATTCACGGGGCAGGAGGACGGAGCTGAGGAAGGCGGCGCCACCGCCAAGAGGCGTCGAGGAACCTCGCCTCACCTGCTGCCGGCACGGCGCGGCGGGCGCGGGGCGGGGCGGGGCTCCGTAGGGAGCCGCCCGCCCGAGGGACGAGGGTCGCGGGACGGGGCCGCGCTGCGGGGCCGCGCGGGGAGTGTGGTAGCGACACCTGCCGGCCGGGCGCGGAGCAGCCGCGTTGTGGCGGGCAGCGGCCGTTTGGCTGAAGCGGGCGCGGGGCGGTCGAAGCGTCGGCGCCGCGGAGGTACGGGAGAAGCCTGTATTTAAGCCCGCGCTTAAGTTTGCATTTGTTTTAATGCGAAGTTATTGTCCCGCCTGGTACTTTTGGATCGGGTGTCCGTGAGGAGGCCGTCGGCAGAGGGTGGATTTTAGATGGCGTGCAGTTAACTCCATTCTGGCTTGATCTAAAACTCCCTTTTGGAATTGCAGAGTGAGGAACAGAGGAGTAGTAAAGAGATCCTTCCCCCTCTCCCACACACACATGTGCATGCACATCCTATAAAGAGCAGATCTCAGCTCTGCAGAATGTGATCTAATTTTAAACCCCTGACAAGATATATTTGCTGCTTTAAAACATGCTCTTATTTTAGAATTATTTGAAACTATTCTTAAAGGAATAGCCTAACAGCTGAGGGTTGAATAACTTTGCAGTCCAAATTTTTCTTGCACACAGTAGATATTCTCTGTTAAACAATAATTTACATGTAATGAAAGTCCCCTCAGTGAACAGCCTATGAGGTTATTTAGAAAGCAATACACTGAGCAGCTCAGACGCTGCTATTTACAGTTTAGCACAGCATAGGGAATCTGTGCCTCAAATTCTGCACTGAACAAATACCTGAGGATGCATTGTTTGTTGTGGCTAAGTGAGAAATGGGGCTTTTGGAAGGAATAGCTGTCAGGGCTGAGCTAAGCTAACGTGGGATCAGTTACTTGGTGAGGTATCAGTGACAGTACAAATAAACAAGCACTTTTTTTCACTATGGGCCTGTGCAGGTTCCCTTACTGCTACAGACAGCCCAGAGTCAGCTGCTGGCTGGGTGCACTTCCCTTCCAGATCCTGACCTCTAACACCTGCCTGAATGGCACCATGCCTGCAGAATGACCATCTTCCTGCGCTCTCTCAATAATCAACCATCCTTCTAAAGTACTCGTAAATTCCTTTATTTCCTCATCTCTTTGGAGTCCTCTCAAATACCCTTCTCCAGAAGTAATCACCTCTCCTGCACCCCCTTTTCCTTCTCCGTCAACCCCCAAGAAGCTCTTGTTCCCAGCACAAACCATTGCCAGGAGCCAGCAGCCAAATGGGCCACGGCACAACTCCAGTTGCTGCGAGCTTCTCTCTATTCTGGGGCATCTGGAGTCAGAAGGCTCTGTCTTTCCTGTTCCACTAGTGTGTGATGTGTTTGCTCTCTCTGTTACCAAGATATGAGGAAAGATGGGAGGTCTACTGGAGGACTTTCTTGCTGAGCGTGCCAGGGCAGCTGGTGCTATTTCTGCATCATAGAGGGTCAGAAGAGTTGTCTTTGTCCTCCAAGGCTTCTTCCTGCAGTCACAAACAGCCATGATATCCAGCCAAGCCCACAACAAGATACAGATTTCACGTAATTGCAAACGTGCATCTACTTACAGCTTTGTAAAACCTATGTTGCGGTACCCAAAGCCTACCACTCACCACCCACATCCAGGGGACTGCAGTGGAACTGCTTCGGCCCATCCACCAGCAGGGATACAGCAGGATCTGATTGCTGTCCTGCACATCTGAAATGTCTGAACCATCATGGTTGTTCCAACCACAAAGCCATGCACAAGTACATGAAGCATCTTGACTGACTGCATTACCTATTGCGCCAGAATCTCCATGTAGATATTGTATGAGTTCAACCTCAGTCTAATTACAGTGCAGAAAAAATAGCAGTGCAAAATGTTAGCAGTTTTTAACAGATTAGAGTAAATGTAACCTACTTTCTTCAAATACAGCCTATGTGCAAGATCTTGGTTTATCTGAACTATGCTCATGCCAGAATTATTCCATTTTTAAAACCACTTGGATAATGTAGCTGTGAAACTTATTTAAAGACTCATTTATTAATTTTTGTTCTAAGCTAATCAGGTGATACATATCAGATGATAGAGTAAAAACACTAATTAAATGCTGAAACTTTGAGAGTAATTTGTTGTATCTCTCTCAGACAGAAACAAAATATTTATTAATATAATTACGGTATTCAAAAATGTGAAATATAAACTGAATCAAAGAAAGAAACCCATGTTTTCTCACTGTGCGAAAGGCTACAGGACAAGTTCCACAGCTGCATGTTCTCTTTGGCCTTTCGTCTGGCCACTTATATTGGCCAGTAAATATCAGTACACCCCAAAACAGGAGAATCACATGCTCTTCCTCCCGCATAATAGGGAATGGCAGAGGGAGCTGGAGGTGGGGAATGCAGAATGACGAGGCAGAGATGGGAGTCCTGTTCATGTTGTAACATACAGTGCAGAGTACACTGGGGCTAGGAGTGATGCTGGGTTTATAGCTGCAGATGGAAAGAGTGAGAGTGAACGGAAATCTCTTGGAGACCTGGCTTCATTAGCTCTCTTGTTTTCAACCACAAATGAATTAAAACCACTGCAGAAATATTTCAGAGAGAAAGAAAGAAAAAAAAAAAAAAAAGTAGCCAAAATGCAGAATGTAAGAGTTGTTATTTAGAAACTGATGAAATAAGCAGCAAACGCTTAGCTATCAGTTAAAGTTCACCTGTAGTAAGAAGTTCAAACCCAGTGGTGCTTTCTTAGAAATATTGGATTAGAAGAAGTCCAAAGAGGTTTCTCAGTGCAGCCCTCCCATGCTGGGGCTGAACAGTGTGCTGCAAGACCATCTCTGCCAGGAGCTGACCTACCTTTCTCTCAAAAACACTTGCTGCCAGGTAGACTCCACAGACACCCTAACTACTTTGTTCCAATCTTCATAACCTTAGCACCAACTACATAGACTTAATCTTTACTTTCTTTGGTTCTTCCCTTTCTTCTTCTCACCATTAGATGGTGTCTGTCTGCAGAAGACCACCTTGATTTACTCTCTTTTTTTCTTTCTGATAGGCTAAATTATTCAATTTTCCTAATGCTATGACTTCTAAAACTCTCATTGGTCCTGCTGTTCTCTTCTTGTCTCCATTTTGTTAGCCTATTTCTCTAGGTGTCCCAGAGAAGGCTCTTTATGCATCTCCTTCAGGCTACACAAAATTCTCTGTTAGTACATTGAGGTGTGCCTGCTCTTTCACCCTCACTGCAATACTGACTAGTATATGAATTTGTAATCCAGTGTAATCCTCATAACCTTTCAAAACATTTTGCTTCCTAGCTATAAATTGTCTGTTCTCATTTGAGGATTTGATTTCTCCTTCCTCTGGGTAGTACTTGGCACTTACCTTTGTTGAATTTTATCTTACTGATTTTAAGCTGCCTGATTTTTCAAGATTATCTTCAATTCCAAACTTTTTCTTCAAAATGCTTTTAACTATCTTATTGTTTCTTGGTTTTTTTTTTTTTTTCCTCATTTCATGAGCCTTTATTTCACAGTTATTGTTATTTTACAGTTAGTCTTGATGATCTTACAAGTCTTTTCCGGTCTTAATAATTTTTGGTTCTACTATTATCCACTTTGTTCATGAACCTATTTAATAGATTTTAGCTGAGGTCAGATCCCTTCAGGAACCCACTTGAAACATCCTCCCAGTTTGATAGTACACAACTGATGCTTACATTTTGAGAATGACTTTAGGGGCAACTGCTTCTTCACTTCATGGCTCACTTGCACAATATTTCCTTAGCTTACTTATGAGAGCCAGATGCCAAGTTGCTGATGTAGATATACTAGCCATGAGGCCAGTATATTCAATTAATTATTTTTAGGCTGTGACTATAAAGTAGCTAAATATTTTTTTCCTGAACCCTTTTGAAAATCTTTGAGCTCCACTCTGTGTAATTCCTCTCTTTTCTTTCTCTTAAAATATGCAATACAGGGGTTTTCCCAACTTTGAAATCCTCTTCCCATGCACTTGAAATGCAAAGTGATAGTGTATGTTTGAAGGGTCCCATCTTATCTACAACAGATAGTGTTGTTCTAGATTAGAAGAAAATTGTCTGTCAGACAACAAATTCATGGCTTTGCCTCCTAATTGTTTGTGGAGAGCTTGCATCTGATATGCAGATGTATCTAATATGCAGACACAGACTGCATTTTAAATAAACACTATTCCAAAACTTCGTAAGCTTGTTTGCATTCAGGAAAAGATGCAGGAATGCCGAAGTTTAGATTGCAAACACAAACTATTCTGCTTGCACTTTAAAGAAATTATTTTAATGTTGGGAAACACTGTTCACATATGCCCAGGGCTGTTGGTACCTCCACAGTTGTTTGGCAAGGATGTAGAACGTAATGCTCTACACTACTGAGAGGAGAAAAAACAGCACAGAACACATACTCAGAGCCGTCAGGTCCGTGAACCAGTCTGCATTAAGTACTTGAAGTTTTAAATTAAAATAAAGGAAAATCAGAAATGTCTTTGCTAATAAAGGCCCAGTGCAGAGCATGGAGTAAATGACTACTGAAGAACCCGGTTCACC